TGAAAATAACACAAGTAGTTTTGTGAATGGATGGGGAGGAACGAAGGTTAGGGTGATTGTTGTGATCCCTTCACTGTGGCAGCTGTTACTCTAAACCCCTTTTTAGCCCTGGAAGATCACCTTTGTGATTAGATCAGTGTTCACTAAAGGGAGTTTTTTCACAGTAACCAGCAGCAGGCAGGATGTAGGATACTGTTCACTAGAGAATCTCCATGTCACAACAGTATACACACCGGGGATGTCAGTTTCAACAGCTCAGGTTCCTGTACACCTCATAAACACGCATTTGAAGGGAGTACTTGAGTCCAATAACAAGCCTTTACAATACTTTATTTGGTGAAGGATAATCGATCTGGGACATCCAAACAAAGCCAGCATAATAACGCGTTTTAACCGAAGCCATAGTCATACCTATAATTAAGGCTTCTGCTCAAATGCATTAGAGTTCTGCTGGGTTTGTTTGGATGTCTCCTATGGGTTATCTTTTATCAAGTAATGTGAAGGAATGTTATGCAAACAAACTCAGCAGAAGCCAGTCATAGCTTCATAGCTGTCTAAGGCTTTGGCCGAAATGCGTTAATAATTCTGCTGGATTTATTTGGATGCCCCAGATGGCTTATCTTTGACCAAATCAAGTAATGTGAGGAATTGTTATACAAACAATCCCAGCAGAAGTCTAACGCATTTCAGCACAAGGCATAGTCATAGCTATGTCTAAGGCTTTGGCCGAAATGCGTTAATGATTCTGCTGGATTTATTTGGATGCCCCAGGTGGCTGATCTTTTTCCAAATAACGTTCTTTGAAGGATTGTTATGGGACTCCAGCTGTCTTTTCACATTTACTCTTTGCTAGTGGGGAGTCATGTGACTGGCGCTGTATGCCCAAGAAACTTTTTACTAGACTTCAGCGTTAAGTGATACACACCTTAAACAAGACCCTCATTTTATTTTTTTTGTTAAATAAAACAAAATAATGTATATGTTGTTTTTAAAGAGTGAAAAGTGTCATGGCCAGAGGTTAGAGTGCTTGTGTATGGTTCATTATTTTAGGATCCAACAAAGAGTTAAAAATGTATTTAAAAAATGTCCTCCTGGAGGGTGTCCTTTCTGCCACTAGATGTCCTTTGTCTTCTGGGTTGGTTGATGCCCTGTGCCATTAAATCCAGGGGACTGAGGACATACTGTGAGTGCAGGGCCTTCTAGATCCACCTCCTAAGGCAGGGGTGTCCAAACTATGGCCTTCCAGCTGTTGAAGAACTACAAGTCCCATCATACCTCTGCCTCTGGGTGTCTTGCCTGTGGATGTCAGAGTCTTGCAAGTCCTCATGGGATTTGCAGTTCCTCAACACCTGGAGGGCTATAGTTTGGACACCCTGCCCTAAGGGGACATCACAGCATCTTGCACCATCCAAGACCATCTTTTGCCAGGAGAAGACTAGAAGAGGAAGAGGACCCTGCGCCTCACATGACTGGCCTGTGGATTCCTGCAAAAGGAAAGTAACTTGCATTTCCTTTTAAAAAAAAAATGGGTTACCTGGCTGGCTCTGTTTTTTGTTTTGTTTTTTTTTTTGTTTTTTTGCAAGACCGTATCTGTATATTATAACCTAAATAATAATAATTTAAAGTTGGCCCAAGCCCTAAGAAGGAAAATATCAGACAGTGTACGATAAACCAGTCTTATCACAATGTCATCACATATTTCTGAGCTATTCTGAGTAGAATTATTTATACGTACAAGGCAAAATATGGAGCCCAAAAATTTGTTAATGACAAAATAGTCACATGGGGGTTTATTTACTAATGCTGGAGAGTGCAAAGTCAGGCTCACTTCTGCATAGAAACCAATCGGCTTCTAACCTCAGCTTGTCCAATTAAGCTTTGGCACTATAACCTGGAAGCTGATTGGTTATTATGCAGAAGTGGGCCCGATATTGTATTCTTCAGCTTTAGTAAATAACCCCCAAGGTGTCAGCTGTAGGGGCTTCAGGGAGTGACAGGTAGGCAGAGCCAGCCAATCTGCAGAGATTTGGGAACACTGTTCCTCCCATTTAGCTGGGACCATGTGACCAGTGTCTAGGAATCCAAGAGGTGAAAACCGCTAGATACTAATTAAGGTGAGTACTTTACATGTCTCTTTATTGTTCTGTGTTAACTGTCTGGAAGGGGAAGAGCATTAACAGTCCTAGGCAGACATCCTCTGTCCACATTCAAGGCAAATGTTAGCAAGCTTTAATTATCTTTAATGTTTCTTCAAAAGTTTGTAACTTTTTTTTACAATTCCTTATTACCTAAACTCTGTGCATTTACTGACATGCCACGAAGCAGCAGAAAGTTAAACATAGGCTTGCAATGCGATTACCTGTGGGCAAGCCTAGGAGATTTGTAAATATATGGACTTCTCCAGAGCCTCCCCCATCCTCTGGAACTCTCTTCCCCAATTTATCAGACTATCGCCTACTCTGCTCACTTTTAGGCAATCTCTGAAAACCTATCTCTTCAGGGAAGCCTATTCTGCCCTCAGCTAATAATGGAATCTTCTATTCCTCCTACCAGTCCATCCCCCATAGTTATTACCTTTTTGTACCACTAGCCCCTCCCTCTTAGATTGTAAGCGCCAAGGAGCGGGCCCTCCTAACCCTCTTGTACAAATGAATGAGTCTATGGGATAGCCTAGGGCAGGGGTATAAAATCATTTCATCACGGGCCGCATCAGAATTATGGTTGCCCTCAAAGGGCCGGTTGTATCTGTAAGACTATATAAATGTATCTGCTCGTTATCATATTAAATAATTGCCTCTGCATTCGATATTACTGGTTTTGGTAATAACATAAGCTGTGAAGGGCGGGTGCAGACGGCACAGAGCCCACTCACACACCTGTAACAGATGATGCAAGTCTGAAAAGGAGGGTTGCACACCACTGGTATCATCATCATATTTCCTCCCCCACGTGTCTCTTCCCCTGATTCCTCGGTCAGGATCAATAGCACCACTATCAACCCATCCCTGCATGCCAGGGTGCTAGGGGTAACCCTGGATTCTGAACTATCCTTTCAGCCCCACATCCAATCCCTGTCCAAATCATGCCACCTCAACCTCCGCAACATCTCCAGAATACGCCCTTTTTAACCAATGATACTACAAAGCTTCTAATTCATTCCCTGGTAATCTCTCGCCTCACTACTGCAACTCCCTCCTCATTGGCTTACCTTTACATAGGCTATCCCCCCTCCAGTCCATCATGAATACTGCTGCCAGGCTTATCCACCTTACCAACCATTCAGTATCTGCTACCCCCTCTCTGCCAATCCCTCTACTGGCCTCCACTCGCCCAACGCATACAATTCAAAATACCAACAACACCATCCATAACTCTGCCCGCAGCTACATCACCAACCTGGTCTCAAAATATCTACCAAATCGATCTCTTCTTTCCTCCCAAGACCTTCTGCTCTCTAGTTCCCATGTCACCTCCTCTCATGTTTGCCTCCAGGACTTCTCCCGAGCTTCTCCTATCCTATGGAACTCCCTACCCCAATATGTCCGGTTATCTCCTAATCTATCCACCTTTAGACAATCCCTGAAAACCTTTCTCTTTAAAGAAGGCTATCCTGCTTCTACCCAGTAAACTGCCATTTATTTTCTCCATCAGCTCATCCCCCCCATAGCTATTACCTTTTGTATCATTCAACCCTTCCTCCTAGATTGTAAGCTCTAATGAGCAGGGCCTTCTATTGGGCCTTCTATTTCCTCTTGTACCAAACTGTATTGTAACTGCGATGTCTGCCTTCATTTTATAAAGTGCTGCGCAAACTGTTGGCTCTATATAGATCCTATATGATAATAACCCAGAAGAAACTTTACTGGAGACGTCTCAGGCAGAAAATGGTTCTGCTATGGTGTTCTATTTGTGCAGTGTCTGATAAAGTTTCTTGCGGATGATACAGGGGTGTACAACCCTCCTTTTCATCACAGTGAACCCCCTTACCTTGTGCTGATACCCCGGGAAGGAGCTGTAGGTGAAGCTGGGAAGTAGAAAGTGCATGGTCTGGAGGAGGAACAGAGGAAGGCTTGAGTCTGCTGCCGGAGTCTGCTGAATGCTGAGACCAGGGGAGGTGGAGACAAAGGGGTGCTGTGGCTGCACAGAGAGACAAAGAGGTGCAGGGTCTGTAGGAGGAGTTCTGTCCTCCTCTCTGCTGCTGACTGCTGAGATGGGGGTGTGGGTCGGAACAAAGACAAGCCCCTCCATAACTCATAACTGCATGAGAAGCACAGAATCTGGCCCAGGAATTCTGTCCTCTTCTCTGCTGCCGACTGCAGAGACAAGGTGGAGTGGAGATGGGGGGGGGGGGGGGGGTGCCGCAGCTGCAGGATAAGTGCGAGGGCCACATGAAATGGCCTGGCAGGCTGCATTTGCTCCACAGGCCTTGTGTTTGACACGTGTGGCCTAGAGAATTCCTAATGTATTTAACTATCCTAGGCACAACCAGCATGGTTTGTTTGGAGAAAGAGCTACTGATGGAGTTAGGATTTTTCAGCTGTTGTCTATTATTCCCCAAAGGTAAGGATCGTGTCGTCCTGGTTTTTACTTCTCATAAAAAATAAAACTGAAATGGAATTTTCTATAAAAAAATGTACGAAAAGCACAATCAGAAAACTGTATTTTCTCCAAAAATAAGACTCTATAGCCCAAGTATAAAAACCCATCAGTTCCTAAAAACAATTGCCCAGGTCAGGGTCCCTCAGTGCAGGCCTCCAGAGATAAATATTCTGACATTGATCTTATACTGAAGATTGTCGTTTTTATACAGAACTAAGTCAAACCGATATTCAGCTGTATAATTTTGTACTTTAAAATAGTGTGCTGTGTTCATTCCCCTCTCACATTGTGGGCTCACGTCTATGCATGGAGAATAAGCAGAAATTAGTTTCTGAAGGGGTGTGAAGAATGCTGAGAGCTTTATTTTAGCAGGTATTTAAACCTTTTAATCTGTTTATCAGTGTTCTGCATCTATTATGTGACCCGGGGCATCCTACAGGAGAACCGCCAAGAACTCATCGCCTTTATACTCTCCATTCTGCTGGAAATGATTCGCGCCATCATCAACTTCAGTGTTCTCTCCAAAGATGCCAAGCCTGATATACAGGTGAGATTTTCACATGTGTTTCTTGAAGTGGAACTTCATGTAGAAACATTTTGCAGTGGTGGGTTCAGCAGGACAAGTTCACAATATATTGTTATAGAAATTCCATTAGGGGACCACTAAAGCTTTTAAATAGAAGTGCAGGTTTAACAAAAAAATTTATACTTGCCTAGATGACTGCAGCATAGATCTGAGCTGCAGCTGGAGGTGGGAGTAGCTGGATCAGGCTGTCAGCAGCGCGCTGAGCCAGCTGCCAGTCAGGCATCTGGACAGATCCAGACATTATTGTTGGGATCCCTGCAGTTCCTGGACCAGCTTTTTGATGCTAGTCGATAACAGACTCTAGCCTGCTATCTGCTGAGTCTGGGTCACAGAAGTGCAGAAATAAGTGCACTCCTATGACTCACATGGAAAGTATGTCCAAAAGTGTTTTGGCCATACTTCTTTAAAGCCAACATCAGAATGAAAGCCAGGCAACTTATTTTTTTAGAAGGAGAGGTCAACAATGGCAGCCTCCATGTTTCTCTTATGATAGGTGTATTTTAAGTCATGTTAGCATAGTTGCTGGACATACTTGACATTTTTATATGAAAACTGGAAACAAGGAAACTGCCTGTGCTTGCTGTTTGAGCCATAATTGATTAGCAAGCTAAAAAAAAATGATTGAGAGGTAGACAATTAATATGACTTTGTTATGCCAAACTTTGGCATCTAAAAAGTGCCTGCTCCCCACGACCTTCGAGGGACATCGTAGTTTTGAATCTATTCTGGACACCATTATCAAGGACACACTACTGGTGGTAAGAGCTCCCTTAGCCAAAAAAGCTTAAGCCACAGTCAGGGAAGGCTCATTTCTCGCTTCTCTTTCATTTAAATTACTCCCAACAACCTCCAAAACCCACAAGCTTGGCTCCCAGTCCACCCACAAGGTCTGAGACTCAGAGTCCACCGAACCCTGATAAAAATCCTCTTCGGATGGTTTTTGCGAACACTTAAACAGCTTCGTCTTGGGTTTCCAGAGGCTACAAGTTAGTTTCACTACCAGCCCCCTCCTTGGTTTCTGGTAGTAGGAAGCATTATCCTGGGCTGGCCTACAGTGTTTTGTTTGCTAGTGTCCAGGCCTCCTTTAAGGAGGCATTATAACGTCAAGGCAAATGGCTTCCTGTGTCCCTCAATGGACTCAAAGAAAATGATATTCTGTGAGTAGAAAAATCCTATTTTTCTTTTAACACGATTGGACAACCAAAGTGAATCAAAGACTCAGAAGGACTAGTGGACATTAGGTGAATCCAGCCAGATTAGAGCAAGCATCAAACTGTTTATAGCTGTCTATGGGAATTCATTTTTCAGGGTTTACTCACACACATATATTTAGATCCACATCCTCTGTCACTAAGACAAAACATTGAGTTATTAACCTTCTCGTGTGGTTACTCTGTAATAGTTTTATGTTTGATGTGTTTTCCACCATCCAGCCGCGATTTATTGTGATCCTCCTTGTCGGTCTGTTCCACGTGGTCTGTGCTCTGAGCCTGGTGTTAGGGCAGAATATGATGGCGTTCCGGGTTGGGGGTGCACTGGAGAGTCTGCAGGTGCAATACTACATGCTGAACCTCTGCGTCTCACTGCTGACCTTTGACCTACAAGCACAGGTACGTAGTTTGGAATCCATAATCCTTACCAGAGTAACACAGGTCCACATGTGGTCACTAAGCAATGTCAGTTGACTTTCAGGCAGACCATTTCTTACCACAGCCTGCATGGTGAATGTTTTCATTGTCAAGGGTGTAGGCAGATTCTGAAACATTACATCTAATTCACTCTGTATTAACTTATGTATTAAAAAATAAATATATATATGTGTGTGTGTGTGTATGTATGTATGTATTTACACACACTGCTTAGCATACATGAGTACCCCCTTTTGAAAAGTAAGATTTTAATAAATATCTCAATGAACACAAGAACACTTTACAAAATTTTGACAAAACTGACTTTTGTAGGACATTTGTTTAGCTCATTGCATGAAAGTAAGGTTAACCTCCCTAGCGGTATTCCCGAGTGTAGCTCGGGGTAAAGTTTCAGTACCACAAGTGGTAACCCCGAGCTACACTATGGAATACCATGCAGCGCTGCTCCGCGATCCCTCGGTCACTTACCTTGTCCTGCGCTCCCGCGATGTCCCTCCTGCAGTGTCCCCGCCAATGTAATCCGGCGGATGCTGGCATCTGTCATCTGGGTTCCATCCTCTGCGAGCGTCGGGACTTACGTGGACGGAACGGCGGGAAATTTGAAAATGACAAAAAGTGACATTCACAAAAATCATTAAAATCACATAGTAAAACATTACTGTACCAAACCATTTCACATACATTTTGTCCCTAATGCTTTGTCCTGTGCCCTGCCTGCATTTTGACTGTTCTTTCTACCTGGAAACTGAGAAATGTCCATGGTGTCCAAAAAGCGCCCCTTTAGGTCAAAATCGGTTTTAGACCAACTAGAGAACAGTGATAATAAATCAGAACGACTTGCAGAATTGAGTGATAATGATTCGTGGGGAAATTCCTCATCAGACACTGAAAATGATTTTGTGACTTTGCTCAGTGATGTGCGAACTTGGTGCTATATTTCAAATTTCAGTGTTTTTGGTTTGTTTATATTATTGAATTAAATTTATTATTATATTATTTTTTATGATTATTTATTAAATTATATTTTATCATTTTGTGTTTCAAGTTTTATCCTACCTGGGCTGTTTACTGACTCTTGTTCGGACAGATTTCAGTGAGTTATTCCTAAGAATTACAGGCATACAATATAAACTGCCAAATTTCCATGCAAAATAATGGTACCGCTTTCAGCACCAAAAATCTGAAATAATCATATGACCAGGGAGGTTAATAATGTAACTTAGATTACAAAATCTTCAGTTTTACTCAATTAGATGATGCAAAAATGAATACACCCCACAACAAAAACTACTACACCTAGTATTTTGTATGACCTCCACGATTTGTAAGGACAGCACCAAGTCTTCTAGGCATGGAATGAACAAGTTGGTGACATATTGCAATCTTTTTCATTGTTCAAGAATGACCTCTTTTAGAGCCTGGATGCTGGATGGAGAGTGATGCTCAACTTGTCTCTTCAGAATTCCCCATAGGTGTTCGATTGGGTTCAGATCAGGAGATATACTTGGCCACTGAATCATTTTCACCCTGTTGTTCTTCAGAAATGCTACAGTGTCCTTAGATGTGTGTTTTGGATCACTGTCATGTTGGAAAAGTGCATGACAACCAAGGGAATAACGGGGTGATGGTACCGTCTTCTCGTCCAATATAGAGCAGTACATCTGTGAATTCATGATACCATCAATGAAGTGCAGCTCCCCGACACCAGCAGCACTCATGCAGCCCCACAGAAGGACACTGCCACCACCATGTTTCACTGTAGGCACCATGCATTCTTCTTTGTACTCCTCATCTTTTGCGACACCATACAGTTTTAAAGAAATCAGTTCTAAAAACATTTATCATGGTCTCATCGCTCCAGAGTACAGAGTCCCAGTAGTCTTTTTCAGCATGGGCCCTGGCAAATTCCATGCATGCTTTTTTGTGCATGGGCTTTAGGAAAGGCTTCTTTTGTGGATGACACCATGCATGTCATTCCTCTGCAATGTACACCATATTGTGTCACGGGCAACAATCACCCCAGTTTGGCTATTTTTTTCTTTAGCTAACTGCAGTGAATTTGGATGTTGATTTTCTTCTCATCAGAAGACGCTCCTATCGAGGTGGTAGCTTTCTTGGACGGTCTGGATGTCTCTGTGAGATGGTTGCGGTTCCATCTTTGTTAAATTTTTGTATCACTTTTGCTACAGTATTCTGACAGATAAGTAAAGCTTTACTGATCTTCTTGTAGCCTTCACCTTTCTTGTGTAAAGAAATTATTTTATTTCTTAGGCCCTGTGACATTTCTCTTCCATGTGGTGCCATTGCTGACAGCATGAAATGGGAAAGGGGTTTTCTTTAAGCAACGCCCATTTATAATCAACTGTCTGCTGGACACCTGTTTAATGAATAATTAGACTCACCTGTAGTTGAATTTTTGTTAATTAGGATTTTGTTTTGTAAAATTTAGCCTTGCGCCGAAGACTTTCATTGGGGTGTATTCATTTTTGCAACATGCTCTTGAATAAATTTGTTAGGAAAAATACTTTTTTGTGTGCAAATAAACAAATCTTGTTTGCAATCAATGACCTGCATTTGTGGGAATATTTTGTAGTATCGTGTCCCATAGAAAATGTTGATTCTGAAAGGAAAGCAAAGGTTTACCGACAAATCTGTTGGGGTGTACTCATTTATGCTGAGCACTGTGTGTATATGTATGTTTTTATTTAATATAATATTTTATATATATATATATATATATATATATATATATGTATGTATGTATATGTGTGTGTGTATGTATGTATATATATATATATGTGTATATATATATATATATATGTATATATATATAATATTTACTAACACTGTGGAGCAATTTATCATTTCACATCCAAAGCTGTAAAGTTGCTAAGCCAGCTGCATAGCCCTTCTGCATACTCTCAGCAGTGACCTGACAGCTTTCCAGTAGTCTAATGTTTAATGGAACACAGAGGGAGCTGAGCTGCCGAGAACTTAGAAGGTAAAGTGCTCTACAGTACTTGCAACTTCTGAGGTCAGTGAGGTTTTGTTTTGAAGTCAATTTTGCTGTTTAAGGTTGTGTAAAGACTTAAATGTTCCCAGCCTGGCCACAGGTTTACTTTAAGAGTGATGCAATAAAAATAGTCCACTCCAGGTCGGCATGATATGTCCTCCCAACAGCACTTGTGACAGCCAGGCACTCTATAAACGTAATGTACCAATGTTCCACTTGACCAGATTTTCCTGTTTAACTCAGTATCTCGGGTTGAAACCATAATGTTTGGAGCAGGTTATCTGACTTGTTTGATTAACGTTCAGAGAGTTATTGGCCAGAGTATCTGCCTGACCCATAGGTATGATATCCAAGGCTGAAAACCACTGAATCAGGCAAGTGTCATCTCATATCCATAGGGAAGCTGTAGTCCTAACACTTGATTAATGTTAACCTGTTTATCTCTCTCTCTCTCTCTCTCTCTCACTCCCACATTAAGGAATTCATGTTTAAAAAACACAATGTTCAGTGTCCCTTAAGTCATCGTCAAACCAGTTTTTTTTTTTTTCAGTAACAGAAGGAGCCCATCCCTTTGTACTAAAGATTTTATGTTCCTCTCATATATATGTCCTGAAAAACTATTTTGTCATGTTCATTCTTCAGTTCTCTTGTGCATTAATTGCCCCAGGTTTTGGATGAAGTAGTAAATCAAACACCTTTTGGATAGTGGCATTGTCAGCCTGGGAGAGGGTAGTGTTAGACTAACAGATTTAACAAACAGAAGCTGAACTCCAGCTAACATTTTATAGGCTGTTACAGCAGTTTTTTTTTTTCCTTTTTGGGATAAAGGTTTTACATAAGCTCCAGTGATCTTAACTAGCTTCTAGGTCCTGTGCCGAGTGGGTGTCCTGCTGCTCCACCTCATCCAATAAGAGAACAGTTTGCGTTCATTGACACGGGTGTTATCAAGAGCCCGCTTTGCATTTTTCAAACGTCCAAATTCCTGTATTTACAGTGCAGCAGAACAGGGGACGCAGAAGCTAGTAGAGATCACTACCTACTACAGTGATTTCAAGCTTAGAGCTTCAACAGGGATGGTATGCAGTATACATACAGTGGGGATCGAAAGTTTGGGCACCCCAGCTAAAAATTTGTATTAATGTGCATAAAGAAGACAAAGAAAGATGGAAAAATCTCCAAAAGGCATCAAATTACAGATTAGACATTCTTATAATATGTCAACAAAAGTTAGATTTTATTTCTATCATTTACACTTTCAAAATAACAGAAAACAAAAAAATGGCGTCTGCAAAAGTTTGGGCACCCTGCAGAATTTATAGCATGCACTGCCCCCTTTGCCAAGCTGAGACCTGCCAGTGTCATGGATTGTTCTCAATCATCGTCTGGGCAGACCAAATGATGTCAATCTCAAAGGTTTTAAATGCCCAGACTCATCTGACCTTGGCCCAACAATCAGCACCATGGGTTCTTCTAAGCAGTTGTCTAGAAAACTGAAACTGAAAATAGTTGATGCTCACAAAGCTGGAGAAGGCTATAAGAAGATAGCAAAGCGTTTTCAGATGTCAATATCCTCTGTTCGGAATGTATTTAAGAAATGGCAGTCATCAGGAACAGTGGAAGTTAAAGCAACATCTGGAAGACCAAGAAAAATATCGGACAGAACAGCTCGCAGGATTGTGAGAAAAACAATTCAAAACCCACGTTTGACTGCACGATCCCTCCAGAAAGATCTGGCAGACACTGGAGTTGTAGTACACTATTCCACTATAAAGAGATACTTGTACAAATATGGTCTTCATGGAAGAGTCATCAGAAGAAAACCTCTTCTACGTCCTCACCACAAAAAATCATCGTTTGAACTTTGCAAATGAACATATAGACAAGCCTGATGCATTTTGGAAACAAGTTCTGTGGACCGATGAGGTTAAAATTGAACTTTTTGGCCGGA